CGGGTCAAGCCTTGACCCGCCATGTTCGTTTACCCTCTTTTATTTTTATTTTTTCTTTATTTTCTAATTTGTAATACTATGTTTGACTCTTTTTTTAACTTTTTTGATTTTTTATTGTACTTTATAAAATTGACATATGAATAAGAGTTGTTTATGTATATCCCTTGAATAAAATACATTTTTTTATGAATGTTATGTAGCTTATTAAAGAAAATCTTTGAATGTTAGGTAGTGAGGAGTAATAACAACAAATCATGACGTGCAGGAAAATACTTCTTGTTGCATCTTGGAGCAAATAAACATCCTATAAGCATTGATGGCAAATTGTTTTGCGTATATTATCCAAAATATTTCTAACTTCATTTTGTCACTAGTTTCATCTGTATTATACCTCATCATTTCACTCAATTGTTTATTCATTTTGTAGAGTAGAAAAGGTCACTTCTTGATTTATGAGGATTTACCTTCGAGGATTTTCAATAACACTAAAGTGCCTAAGCTAAATTATAAGCCCTCCTCGTGTACTTTGTTCTATTCTTTCTCTTAACGATTGATCTCAACATACATTATAGTATCAAAATGAAAATTCTGATAGATGAGTTAGTATTGAGTAAAATATATTCTATCTCTTATTTGAAGAATTTCATATATAGAAAATTGACAAGCATTTGCTCTTATCCCAATCTAATCACTGCTTCAACCAGTTGCCTTGCTAACCAGTATCAAATGAAAACATAGCAATCTCTATACAACCCACCCTACCCTATTAAAAAATTTCAAAAATAACATTTTGCCCTGCCCTACCCTGCCCCTGGCCTCACCATGCCCCAATTGTCATCCCTAATAGCTAGACGTGTATGTGAAGGGTCTTATTAAAGAGCAGAAATTACATATATGACCCTAATATTTTTTGTTATTATTGTAAAAAGCATATTATTAATGTGGCAAATATTTGAAGGCATTCCTAAACCCGTCAAACAACAATTACTACGATTCAATCCCAAGTTAATTTAAGTTTCTTTCTATAAATTCTTAAAATCGTAATATTTTGGGTTCATAATATTTCAGTATAGTCCTCTCATTTTAAAAAAAAGCACAGACAAATGGTCTAAGCCTCCCACAACTTATTAATCACTTGGTATAAAATACTTCATTAGAGTCCAACTGAATATTTGTCACGATCCGGATTTTTCACCCTCGGGAGTTGTGATGGCGCCTACTAGTGAAAGTTAGGCAAGCTAACAATTTACTTTTTTTTCATTTTTATTCTTTTAACAATTATGAACCAACAATTTATAAACAAGGAAATTTAAAAGTGGAAAACTGAAAAGTAATATACTAATAAAGATGTTAATACCAATCCATGCGTAAACTACCCAAGACTGGTGTTACAATTTCACGACTGTCTAGGAATACTACAAATAAAGGCCCGAAAGAGTTATTACAACACTGTCTCTGAAATATATAAAAGAAACATAATAACAGGATAGAAGGAGACGCCAAGGACTGCGGACGCCTGCAAAACTACCTCGGATCTCCAAATGGACTGAAGGTAGCAACCCAAAGCTAAGATTCAAAAGTTGTTGCACCTGGATCTGCACACAGTGCAGAGTGTAGTATTAGCACAACCGACCCCATGTGCTGGTAAGTGCCTAGCCTAACCTCGGCGAAGTAGCGACGAGGCTAGGACTAGACTACCAAATAAACTTGTGCAGTTAAATCATATACTACGAAAAATAAAAGCAGAAATGTACAGTTAAGTATGGGAGGGGGAAATATGTTGCGGGGACATCGAATAATAACAGAAGAACAACAAGTAAATATAAGGATCACCTCAGTTCAATTGAAGATAGGAAGAGGAATCATGTTGCGGGATCCAACAGGTATCAACAGAAAACCAACAATTAAATGTAGAGAAACCATAACTCAGTTATCAATAAAAATCAGGAAATCAAAGACAAGTGCACGACATCACCCTTCGTGCTTTACACTCTTCCTTACCCAAGCAACAATCATAAAGCAATTTGGGCAAGGGAATCAATAATATCACAGTAAAATCAAGTAACAACAAAAAATCAGTAAATAAACGTAAAGAACACCATAACTCAATTATCAACAAGAATCAGAAAAATCAAGGACAAGTGCACGGCATCACCCTTCGTGCTTTTACTCCTGTCCTTATCATAAAATCAATATAAATGGCACGGAATTGTATATCATGCGGCACGACATCACCCTTCGTACTTTTACACTCTTCCTCACAAAATTATATACGGTATCACCCTTCATGCTTTAACACTCTCTTACCAAAACAATACACGGCATCACCCTTCGTGCTTTAACACTCTTCCTCATCCAAGCAACAATCACAAAGCAATTTGGGAAAGAAAATAAATAAAATCACAACAAAATCCCGGCAAGGGAACAATAGTACAACAATCAAATTCCGGCAAGGGAACAATATCAAAAGCATCAACATCTCGGCAAGGGAGATAGCATTAAAAGCAACAACATCCCGGCAAGGGAGACAATATAATAATCCTCTTCTCTTTTTCACATTTACTTCACAACTTGAGCCAATGCTCTATAAGGTTCAATTGTCAATTATACTTCCACAATTCATTTTACAACTTGAGCCAACGCTCTTCAATATTCAAATACCAATATTACTTCCACAAGCTTTGCTCAACAATAGAAATCATCACATAAGGCATGAATAATACAAACTGAGTCACATTAATCATAGTATAAGACTCACGTGCATGCTTGACACCAACTTATAAATACTTGTCACCATGCATATACGTCGTACTCCTCAAATAACACATAGCAAATAGGACACAACTCCTAATCCCTCAAGCTAAGGTTAGACCAAACACTTACCTCGATGCCACAAATACAATTCAAGTCTCAACTATCGCTTTCCCTCTTGATTCCACCACCAATTCACTCGAATCTAGCCACAAGTTACTTAACTATATCAATAAATGCTAAATGAATCAATTCCAATGCATGAAAATAGGTTTTCTAAAGTTTTTCCCAAAAAGTCAAATATCGCCCCCGAGCCCACATGGTTAAAACCCAAGGTTCGAACCAAAACCCGATTACCCATTCCCCCACTAACCCAAATATATAATTTGTTTTGAAATCGGACCTCGAATTGAGGTCCAAATTCCCAAAATTTGAAAACCCTAGGTTCTACCCAAAATACCCAATTTTTCCCATGAAAACCCTTTATTTTGAGGTGAAATCATGTGAAAAGATGTTAAAGATTAATGAAAACGAGTTAGAAATGACTTACAATCGATTTGGAAGAGTACTTATCTTTGAAAAATCGCCCCAAGGTATTTTGGTTTTGAAAGGGTTTGAAAAATGGTTGAAATGCGTCTAAGTTATGATTTTGCAGGTTGCAGATGTCGCAATTGCGACCAGGGTTCGCAATTGCGAAACCCTCAGACTGCTAACTTCGCATTTGTGAACAGGGGTTCGCATTTGCGAACCTTGAGGAATCCAGTCTCCTTCGCATTTGCGATACTGCCTTCGCATTTGCGATGTCGTATTTGCGACCAAGACAGCACAGGCCACTATTCGCATTTGCGATGCATTGCTCGCATTTGCGAAGCCTGCAGGCTCTACAACACACCAGAAATTCCTTAGTCCAAATTTCACTCCGTGGCCTATCCAAAACTCACCCGAGCCTCGGGGCTCCAAACCAAACATGCACATTATCCTAAAAACATCATACGGACTTGCTCGTGCAATTAAATCACCAAAATAACATCAACAACTATGAATTTAGCTTCAAAATCAAAGAAAATCTCAAGAACTTTCAAAGTTTCAAATTTTACAACTAAGGTTCCGAATCACGTCATATGACCTCCGTTTCTTACCAATTTTTACCAGCTCAACTTAAATCACATATAAGACCTGTACCGGGCTCCGAAATCAAAATACGGGTCTGATACCATCAAATACCAAACACATTTTTTTTCAAAAACTTATATATATTCCAGAAAATAATTTTCTTTAAAAATTCATTTCTCGGGCTTGGGACCTCGGAAATCGATTCCGGGCATACGCCCAAATCTCATATTTTCCTATGGACCCTCCGAGACCGTCAAATCACGGGTTCGGGTCCGTTTACCCAAAATGTTGACCGAAGTCAACTTAAATTCATTTTAAAGGCAAAATTTATTATTTTCACATATTTTCACATAATGGCTTTCCGGATACGCGCCCAGACTGTGCACGCAAATCGAGGTGAGAGATAAAAAGGTTTTTAAGTCCTCAAAATACAGAATCTATTTCTAAAACAAGTGATGACCTTTTGGGTCATCACAATATTTCTTTTCAAAGAGACCTCTATTTTTATAATTTAAAAAAATGAAAAGTGAACGGGTAACTACCTATTTATATATCTTTGTTTGCATTCTAAAATATAATTATATTATCTTGTAATAGGTAAAAATTTATCCACACAATATATGTACCAAATCAATGAAAGCAAGGCACATGTCTTCTTGTCACGACCCTAAACCCGGACCCGGTCATGATGGCGCGTCTCGTAAAGACAAGGCCAGCCGTCACTTCCTATTTTCCAATTTATTAATGATTAAGCATTTGAGAAACAGTTGAAACATGATAAAATAGTTCAAAGTAACAGATAATATCATAAATACGCGGAAGAACAACCCAACACATCCATATATCGGGGTATCACTAGTCATGAGCATCTATAAATCCTACTACAAATCTGATAAGTCTATAAACTATTACAATTGTCTAATCAGAGATAGAAATGATAAAGAGGGAGAAACATGGGTCTGAGGACGTCAAACAGCTACCTCGTGAACTCCGAATGTCCGCCGGGAGCTCTCAACTCGCACTGGCAAGATCAGCAATGCCTGAA